AAAAGAATATATTATATATATATATATATATAAATATATATATCAAACTCTAGTGTACATGGATGTATTGAGGGGAGATGTAGCTAAGGATTCAGAAAACTTAGGTTACTATTTCTGTAAAGGGTTGAAAGAGTCAGACTTTCACAAAGCGGAAGCTGTGAATTGAAATGTATATGAAAAGGACTCGGATTAAAAATACACATTTTAGTTTTGTATATTCGTGCTGATGAAATAGTGTTTGATATAAAACCTTTTCCATTTTGACACACTACAAAATGGTGTCAGTGATAGTTTCAAGATGTTGAGCTGAGTTTCCTTGACATCCTTTTCTAGTTGGTCAAGGTCACAGGTTCAGAGGATAAAGTGGAGTTCCAGTTACAGTAATTTATGACTACTGGTGGTCTGTTTAAGAGAATAAAAGTGACCTGCCAAAGAACCAAGTACTTTGAAATGGAAAGGACTACACAAAGTCCAGTTTTCATTTTAGGTTGATAGAACTCATTCCCCTAATATACATTTGAAGAGTACATATATTAGTGGAAATATGGACATTATTTAAACAGAGTTTGAATGATAGAGAAATGTTAGCTACTTTTAAGTGGGATTCACGGAATTTCTTTTGTCACAAGGAATGCCTTTGTGGACATAAGAGATGCTAACCATTCACTGGGTTGGCTTACCCTACAACTGTAAAGAGCCTAATGAGTCCACAGGTTTAAGATCCAGTACTAGTTGTGAACTCTGCCCTTCCACACAGTGGAACACGTCCATAATCCAGGATGTTGCCTGCCTGCCGTAAAGTAAGTATTCAAAGACCCACATCTGTCTTAAAATGGAATATATGTATACACACTTTAAATAAGTATAGAAGAAATAAAAAGTGAATCTACCATTAATTGGCTACAAAAAGAAATAAAGCAAATGATGGCATTGACATTGTACAGAAATTTGAACCTCATTTAATTATAGGAAGTAAATCCATTTTTCATTCTCCATGAAGCAGAGAATACCAAGAATGTATAGCCTGATGTAATCTACCTAGTCTTCATCTGCTTAATATTATATCTTGTTAAACTTCATTAGAATAAAATCCTTGCCTGTGTTTGTCCACAATTTCCTATGTGTATCTATTAATCTACCTTGGAAGTGGCAAGCTAATTTTTTCATTTTTCTCACTGTTTTTGTACTGATTCTGAACAACAAGACCCTTTGTTATCAATGTCTTTAAGCTGGGGTTTTGTGTTATGTATTCACTGGTTTTCAAAATACTTCAACTTAAATTATATTATTGAACATTTTTTTGAGTGCCAAGTATTCCTGAGTAATTGTGTAACATTGAAGATAGAGTATTCCCAGAGAAGCAGTCATAAGTCAAAGTATAGTGAACTCAGTATATAACCACTTTAGATAGTACACTCAGTCTTTTTTATTCAAACCCTCCTAGAAGTTAATTAGAATAGGATCTCATTAATTGATTTTCCCCCCTTTTGATCATTTTATATTTATACCACTTTGCTCTGGGAACTCCTATAAACCCAATTCTGGCACATTATAGTCATTTCCATCAATGGAAATGTTATTTTTATTTTACTAACGTTTAAGGTATGTCTATCGTATCATAAGGTATATGAGAGAGCATAACAAATTATTGAGTAGAAATGTATTAAACTCCTTAGATGTTTTGAATGAGAAGACATTTTTAAAGGAACTACATTTGTGTTTTGCCAAATCTGTCCAAGCTAGAAATGTGCTAAGTACTGAATAACCTGCCTTGTTCATTATGCCACTGGATGATGTAAGTTGAGGATGGAATTGTTAACCCTAACTATATTTTCTTGACTTTCATCAGTTTTTAAGGAGATCTAATTTAAGTGTTTTGGGGTATTATTTGATCTGTATTTATTGAGTTCTGGTCATAGACCAGGAGCCTGCATGTCATGCTTTTATGGACAGCCAGGACACAGTCATGGGGGAACTTAATGGCTCAAGACCTTGGAATCGTTTAACTTATTTTGTATGTTGGGGGGGGGAAAAAAAAACAGGAAAAAAACGTTTATTTTGCTTGAAAGTCACATTTTTTATAACTGTAAAGCTTTTAAGGAATGGGAGGTGGGAAAATATCCTAAAATAGGATGTAGATTTTTACAATTGTGTTTATGCTAGAACATCTGCAGGTGCATTATGTAATTAAACCTAAAATTGTTTAAAATTCTGTGCCACGTCTTTTTCATTCTCCTGCCTGTTAGCAGAGTTGGGGCACATTAGTGCTGCTAAACGGACAAGCCTTGGTATTAGACTTTCCAACCCCTATCTCAAAAGCTTTAAGATCATTGCATGAAAATTACACACACACATACACAGGCACATACATAGACACAGAGATCTAGTTTCTATTAGTGTAAATGGATTTTCAGGATTAGACCAGCTGTAATAGTCCATATTTGGCAGTTAATAGCATATTCTTCCAGTGCATGGTTTTTGTGATGCCTGATCAGGGAATTCTCAGTGTTGATCTGGTGTTTGTTCTCAGAGTAACGTCTGAATAATGGTATCTGAATTGTAGCTTGTCCAAAACTACCATGAGGTTTTTGTGTCCACTTTAGAAGGAGGTGTCTTGTGCTGAGATGGGAGTGGGGCAGGGCTTGGTTTCTTTCAATCTGTAAAAGAAGGAAAAACTAGAATTGCTTGATACGGTCATTCAGTAGACTTACTTCCACCAGAATATTTCCCGAAACATTGGCAGGATTCAAGTCTCAATCCCCTCATTTGAAATGTGTTTTGAAATCTTGTAGAACTGCTGGTTCTAGCACAGTATTTTACACGACACATTTTACCCTGCGTTTTCTTTGATACCCTTCCTTTGTTTAAGTGCCAGTCCTTTTTGCCATCTGATTGTCTTGCCATTCCAATTTCTCATCTTTTAGCACAAGTGTATTGTTGTTTTTTAAAAAAAAGTCTAAGTCATCTGTGTCATAATTTCTACCTAAGCTACTTCATCTGTTGTCAGGTAACATGGGAAGTCAGTTTCTTTGCTTTCCTCACCCATTCAGAAGTGAAGCATGGGTATCATGAATTTATATGTTAAGAATACAAATTCTAGACAAGAATTTGTAAATGGTATATTGTAGAATTTCGTTTTTATTTTAAAGTAATAGCTGGGATTCAGGGAGTGTTCTGTCAGGACACCTCTTGGGTTTTCAGACATGCTTCTATAAAATGCTTTATTTTCCTATGCATAAGAAAGATTATTTCTGGAATAGGTTCTCAGAATGCTTTATTCTGTTTCGAGGAGGTCAGAGCTAAAGCAGAAGCTCCAAGATTCACATAAAACTAGTAACTCGAGGTAATCAGGATCATGTGATTAGTGGCATACGAGAAGGCGGAGTGCTCTGTCACATAGAAACAGACTACATGTGTGGGGGGAGAGATCTGAAAACTGGAAATAAGATTCCAATAACACACAAAGCAAATTGTGTGCATAAAAAGTACAGGAATTCCTGGTAGCTTAAAGCTTCAGGGTTAACTGCAGCGTATGAACACCTAGCGTGTTAGAATTGCAGTGCATAGTTGTTTAAATACAATATTCCTTGTGACAACCAAAATAATGCTGTGGCTGGTGCCAATATTTTTGTTAATGAAATGTTTAGTGTCTCACTACAGTCCAATCAGAACTCTTGGTGTTAGAAGCCAGGCCTAAAGCCATTTTATAGCTATTGGCCTAATTGTGTAACTTTTTCTTTCAAAATGTTTTATTATACTTATGTCATTTCTTTCACTTAATATATGTCAATTGTCATAATAAAAATTTTAAATAATGTGATGTATTTAGCATGATGTGTTTGCAAACAGTTTATTTCAAATTTTGTGGATCACAGAAAGCTATGAATTTTCTGTAACGGTTCACAAAGATTAAGATTTTTTTTTTTTCAGGCCAGCAGGTGGTATGGTTGAGGCAGCTGGATCCCACATGGCTGCCTGTGTGGTTAGAGTCCCAGACCTAGTGGCTTGGAAGTCATGCCTGGTATGTATGCACCCAGAATCCCAGGAGGAGAACAGAGGAGAAGGGATTGTGACGCGGCAAATCCCCCCTCGGGGGATGATGTATCCACCCCCCACCCCCAGGAAACACTTTGCCTCTCTCTCTCTCTCTCTCTCTCTCTCTCTCTCTGTATGTCCCTGTGAGTACACATGCCCTATAGCCACAAATAGCCTTCTGACTGACTCTCAATGAATTTGTTTTTAAAAAGTGTTTTTAAATTTTATCCAGGGATAGATGCATTGTTCTTTCAACATCTAAAAAGTAAATTTACAAGTACATCAATTTGTTACTTCCACTATTTAAAGGCCATCACCAACTAGGTAAATACAGGTATTAGAAAAGCATTCTTAGTTTGTTGTCATTGTTTTTAATATTTGATATGGGGGCTTGCACACACTGGAGAGACGAGGGCAGTGTCAGAAAGCACACTGTCAAGGGAGTTGGCCAATGGCAGTCCTTTCTCCTCTCTCCTCTTGGGATTTGGGCAACCACACACATGCATCCGGCATGTATTTTGAGTCCCAGTGAAAGGACTCAGACTATGCAGTTGGCCATGTGGGACCCAGCTGTCTTAACCACACCACTGGCTAAAGCACTATCCTTGATTTCTACTTTTAGCCTCTGGACAACTGACACACAAAGAGGCCATGGACTTGTTCTGTGTGTTCTTGTGAGAACATAGAACCAGACTTCGGGCAGAAGCTGCATTGTGGAAGTTTTCCATTCCTTATATGAGGGGGAAAAAAAAAAAAAGACTTCATTCTCTAATAATAAACAGCTTGAGAGTTACTTTTTACAAATAGGGGATGTTTAGGTATTGGCTAACTGCCATTTGCCAAAGTGTAATCAACACATTCAAATATAGTTAGACCAAATGACTTTAATGGGCTCTTCCAACCCTGAGTATGATTCTTATCTACAAATGTTGATTTAATAGTTTTTCCTTATTCTATTTTTTTAAGAATTATTTATTATTATTTCAAGTGAGTTTGGTCAGAGAAAGAGAGAGAGAAAGCAAATGACCAGGTCTGAGACTCGAACCGTGGTCAACATGTGGGAATCCCAGCGCCTTAACCACCACACCACCTGCTTGCCCAGTTTTTCCTTATTCTTAAAATACAATAAAATTCATAGCCTCGGGGCCAGCAGGTGGTGTGGTGGTGAAGGTGTTGGAATTCCCACAAGGCTGACCATAGTTTGAGTCCCGGACCTGGTGGCTTCCTCTCTCTCTCTCTCTCTCTCTCGGTCTTTCTCTGGCAAAACTCATGTAAAAATAATAATAATAAAGTTAAATAAAATAATTTTTAAAAATCCATAGCCTCCAGAACTGGGAAATAAGTGACTTTTTAAAAAATAAATTACCCAGTCAGTTTTTCATTTTAATTTGCTATTGGGCACATGCACTCACCAGAGACAAGAGATAGAAAATGAGAACACAAACTACCAGGTCTGGAACTTGAACCACAGTTGGCTATGTGGGAATCCAGTGCCTTAACCACCATTCCATCTATTGGCCCCTCGTCTGCAGTAGTTTGTTACAACAGCATAAGTGGACCAAGGCACAGGCTAGGTTAGAAAAATCCATTTTGAGGGCCTGCAGTTGGCATGGTGGTTAAGGGCACTGGACTCCGCTACTGTTCAAGTCCCAGACCTGGTGGGTTGCTTTCTCACTTTTCTTCTCTTTCTCTGGTCAGGTTAAAATAATAAATGAGGTTAAATAAAAGAATTCCTTGGGGCCAGCAGGTAGCGTGGTGGTTAAGGGTGCTGGACTCCCACATGGCCAACTGCATTTCAAGTCCTTGACCTGGTGGCTTGCTTTCTCACTTCCTCTCTCTCTCCCTCTCTCACTCTGTCCCTCTCTGGTCAAATTAAAACAAATACACAAAGTTAAATAAAGTCATTAAAAGAAAAGAATTTCTTTTTTAAAAAAAAGAAAAGAAAGAAAAAGCCATTTAGCTTCTATCAGTTTCTCTTGTGATGCCCACCTTCAAAATTCAGCTGCTGTGTGGAAGTGCAGGCCACACAGAAAGGATATAAAAGATGTTCCAGCTGATAGTGACTACATGTCAGACATGTCAGTAAAAAAGTCTGGGGATCTATGATTCATTTCTTGTAAATTCTTTCCTCCAGTTGTATTTCTTTTCTTGGAGAACTTTTTCGCTATAGGGCACGTGTGCTTGCCAGACAGACAGAGACATAGAGACAGAAAGCGAAAAATCACCCCCCAGGGGGGATGGTCACGCCACAATCCCTTCTCCTCCATTCTCTCGGGATCTTGGGCACGCACGCACACGTGCCCGGTGTGAGTTTTAAGCCACCAGGTCTGGGACGCAAACCGTGGTCGACTACATGGGAGTCCAGCAACATAGCCATTACACTAACTGCTGGTTCCCTCCCTCCAGTTGTATTTTTTAACTTCATCTCTCACCCTCATGGGTGTGGCCTTAAGATTGTATAGCAAGGGGGTGATTTCTCACTTTCTGTCTCTCTGTCTCTGTCTTTCTGGTGAGCGCACATGCCCTATAGCAAAAAAAGAAAAAGAAAAAGAAAAAAAAAACCATAGCAAGAGCATGATCTAGTAAGAATGGGTGTATAGTATGCTTAATTTTTTCTGGCATTAAAAGGCAGGAATATATTGAGTTCTTGGAAAGTCATGAAATTTTTTCTTTTTCTATGCAAAAAATGCATCACAAATTTTCTAACAACCCAATATTTATTAGCCTCTGTGAACTAGTTCTAAGAAGTGGTTTGGGCCAGCAGGTAACACGGTAGTTAAGGCAGCTAGATTCCCACATGGTTGACCATGGTTTGAACCCTGGGCCCAGTGTCTTGAAAATCACGCCAGGTGCTTGGATGTGTGTGGCCCAAATCTGAGAAGAGAGTAGAGAAGGGGTTGTGGCGTAGCTATTCCCCTGTAGGGTGGTTTTTCACCTGCCCTCTTTCTCTGTCTCTCTCCTCTCTAGTGAGTGCATGTGGCCTCTAGCAAGTTTGTTTGTTGCTTTTTTTTTTTTTTTAATGGCCATGGGGGGCCAGCAGGTGGCGTGGTGGTTAAGGTGCTGGAATTCCCACATGGCCAACCATGGTTCAAGACATGAACCTGGCAGCTTGCTCTCTCTTTCTCTGGCAAAACTCATGTGAAAATAATAATAAATAAATGAATAATAATAAAAAAAAAAGGCCATGGTTTATAGTGCAAATGCTGGACTTGGAATAAAAAGGCAGGAATCGAACTACTAGGTAGTGATGTCTTTTATTTATTTATTTATTTTTGGAGAGGTTTTTGCTATAGGGCATATGCGCTCGCCAGACAGAGAGAGAGAGAGAAAGAAAGTGAGAAATCACCCCCTAGGAGGGATGGCCATGTCACAACCCCTTCCCCTCCATTCTCTCGGGATCTTGGGCACGCATGCACACGCACCCGGCATGAGTTTTAAGCCACCGGGTCCAGGACTCGAACCGCAGTCGACTACATGGGAGTCCAGCAACATAGCCATTACGATAACTGCTGGTCAAAGTGATTTTTTTTTAAATAATTATTTAATTTGTTGTTGTTATTTTTTTATTGTCCAGAGAGACACAGAGAGAGAAAGGGAAAGTGAGGAAGCAAGCTGCCAAGTCCGGGACTTGAACTGTGGCCATCCATGTCAGAGTCCAGCACCTTAACCACATGCCACCTGCTGGTCCTGTAATATATTGTTTATCAGATCACTTAACTCCTCTTCAGTTTTCTCTCATTATTTTATTATTTTTATTTATTTTTTAAAGGCTTTTGCCATAGCACATGTGCATTCACCAGAGACAGAGGGAAAGTGAGAAATCATTCCCCAGGGTGATGGCCTTGCCACAATTCCCTTCTCCGCTAATCACCTTCTGGGATTTGGGGCATGAGCATGTGTGCAGTATGATTTTCTTTTTTACGAGAGATTTTATAGGACACTGTGCTCACCAGGGAAACAAAGTGAAAAATCACCCCCAGGGGGGATAGCCATGCCACAATCCCTTCTCTACTCTCCTCTTGGGATCTTGAGCGTGCACACATACACACGTGACCAGCGTGCCTTTAAGCCACTGGGTCTAGGACTCGAACCACGGTTGACTTCTTGGGAGTCCAGCAATGTAACAGTTATACCATCTGCTGGTCCCACCCCCAACATGATTTTTAAGCCACTGTGTCCAGGTCTCAGACCGTGATCTGCCATGTGGAAGTCCAGCATCCTAACCACGATGCCACCTGCTGGCCATAACTCCGGTTCTATTATCTGTAAGGTGGGGATAATAACAACCAACTTGTCTGTCTACCTTATGGCATTACTATAAAGATCGAAGTAGACAGTGAGAAAAACCAATTTTTAAAAAAGTAAAAACAATATGTAGGGGCCAGCAGGTGGCATAGTGATTTAGGCGCTGAATTCCCACATGGTTGACCTCAGTTCCAGTCCCAGACATGGTGGCTTTCAAATCACATCAGGTACATGTACATGTGGGCTCCAAATCCCAGGAGAATGAAGGAGAAGGGAATGTGGTGTGACTATTCCCACCTGGGGAGTGATTTTTCACTTTCTCTGTCTCTCCTCTCCAATGAGCGCACATGTCCTATGGCAAAAACCTTAAAAAAAATAAATAAATAAAACTATAAATGTGAAATATATCAAGTGTGTTGTGCTTATGTTCTTCACAGGGATTTATGTAAGAAGCAAAGGGCACAAATGCTGCCTTCTTTAAATTCTTGGTGATGTCTGCCTGCTTTGAAATACATTTGCTTAATGCCTCCTCAGTGTTTGTCACTGCAATGGGTGAAAAGCTCCTGGTAATAGCTAAGATCCCTTTCCTTCAATTACAAACTTAAAGGAACCCTTTTCCCATTCGGTAATCTCTTTTTAAAAGAGATACTCTGAAAACTAGGTCACCGTTGTAATTAAATCGTCATACTGTTTCTACTCCCTTCTTCTCCCATAGTATTAGGGAAATTCCGTTTCTGAGCAAGGGCTGTTCACTAAAGAGGCAACCGCATAGAGGTCCTATGGGAAATCCAAACTCATTTCCCAAATTAGATTTGTTAGCTCTTCTCAAAATCCTCCTTTTGCTGAACTTGAAGAAATGAGGCAGCATTCACTCAGTCACTTACACTGGAAATTTGGAAATAATCCTTGGCCTCGCTCTTCAACCATCCTGTTCACCTTCACGGCCATTTCTTTCTTTCCCCAGTGTGTCTCCAGATTCTCTGTGAATTTTACCCTGAGCCTTTCCCAGGCTCCATCCTTTCTGCCACTCTCCCTGCTATGGCAAAGACTTCCTGATGCGCTCCGCTCAGGCTGCCCCTCTTCCCGTCTCAAGGGCAACCAAGAAGCCCAGCTGAAAAGGGTGGCACACTCCTCTCTGTATGTGAGAACGTGGCAATAAAACCGTCACTCATGCCGGGTCCTGCCGCCTCAACAGCCCTACCACAGAAGGCACTTCGTAGGGTACCGATTCCACCCGGTCTCAGAGCCTCTCCTCTGTAAAACTGGGTCGGTAGCTAACTTCTTCATACACGATTATCACTACTTAGCACGTCTTGTTGCTCTTTAGTCTTCAGTGCCTAACAAATAAATTGGGCCACGTTCCCGTCAGGGGGTTAATTCTTTTCCCCCCGGCGCCAGCAGTCCGCCATCCTGCCTTCCTCCTCTGTGCTCGTCCGCCCTCTGCAGCGCGGGGACACGTGGCTCTTGCACAGGGCGGCGTCTCTCCCTGGACTGACGTCTGCAGTAGGACAGGTGCGCAGGAGAAAGCAAGGATGCTGCAGGTTCGGCGATCCCACCCAGACGGGTGCAACCTTACTCCCCATGCGGGCAGGGCAGTCCACGGCTCGGGCCTCGATTTCCCGGCTGCAGAGAAGGACAAACCGCGTTCTTCGCGCGTCTTCCCTCCCAGGGTTGCAGTGCCGACCTCGAAGACCGGCGCGGGGACAACCCTCGATGGTTCCGATCCGGCAGCCTGGGTAACCACGAGGGACGTTGTCACGTGACCACGCCGAGTCTTCGCTGGCCTCCGAGATCTTCCTAGAGCGTCTCATCTCTATGGTCGAAGGCCTGCAAATGCCCGTACACACTCAGTTGTTCTTCCGGGGTGCTTGCCGCCGCTTCCGGGGCGGGACGCGGCTAACTAGGATTGCCGTGCCCGGCTCCCTGCGCTTGTGTTTCCGCGCTCTGTGCTGCTATGAGCTTCCTCAAAAGTTTCCCGCCGCCCGGGCCGGCTGAGGGGCTCCGGCAGCAGCAGCCTGACACCGAGGCTGTGCTGAACGGGAAGGTCCTCGGCACCGGCACCCTGTACATCGCGGAGAGGTAGGGTCCCTCCCGCGAGCGCCGGCCTCGTGCACGCCGCCGCCTCCTGGCTGGTGCGGGCGGTGTCCCCTCGCGGGCTGCTGGGAGTGGGGCGCGTGGCCCGCGACGCCAGGGATGCCGCTGCTGCTGGGCCACGTCCAGGCCTCCAGAGACCCTCTCCCTGAGTCGGGATTGCCCCTCGTCTGTTGGCGCTTTCCTCCCCTGTTTACCAGCGAGCTGGCGCGCGCGTGGTCCCGAAGTTCCGATGGGGTTCCCTGGGTTAGTCTTGGGGTGCCGGCCTTTCCGGATGAACAGGTGTAGGAGGTGATGCAGGTAGCAAATTTTGGAGGCCTTTGAAGTCTGGTGTAGGAGTGCCGCTTTATTCCACGGGTGGGTGGGGAGAGGTGCATCAGCCACGCGCAGCGTGGGATGGCATCCGTGGGTACTGACTCCTGGCCCTGCAAGGAATTGCCCTGTCATTTGTCCACTTGGAGCACTGGGCGCTTTCACAGTCAGACGTGTTTTAAATACTGCAGCTGTGGAACTGAGGTCTCTGGGGTCCCTTGACGAGTAGCCACCCTCATCTTCGAGGTGGCAATGACACATGAGTCGTTTTTGTCCTTCAGTTCCCTCTGCTTCCCGGTTTGCCGCATCACTTTTGTCTACAACCAGAACAAATTCCCTGTTTTCACCGTGTATGTGATTACATTGAGTCCCCTCAGAAAACCCAGCATAGGTGTCCTGTTTCGCTGTCTGGTTAGTAACCTTGATTACACTTACAAAAGTCCCTTGGCTGGGTAATGTAATGTATTCGTAGACATCACACCAGAATTTGAAGGTCATGGGGTCCAGAAGTGTGTGGCTGCAGAGTCAAAGAGTATAGAAACTGTAGGGGATCCTTAACTTAGAGGGAAATTTAGATATCAAACAAAGGGTGGGTTTCAGCTGGTCACTGAAATAAAAGATATGGAAGGGTGAAAAGCAACTTGGGGGTGAATGGTAGATAATGAATTTGGTCAGGACAGGTGTGACGTAAGTAGACATGTGAGTGTGTGTCTTGGAGGCTGGTAATAAAAATTGAGATTTGAGGGGACCAGCAGTTGGCATAATGGCTATGTCACTGGACTCTCATGTAGTCGACCACAGTTCAAGTCCCGGACCCGGTGGCTTAAACTCAGGCCAGGCGTGTGTGCATGTGTGCCCAAGATCCCAAGAGGAGAATGGAGAAGGGATTGCGGCATGGCCATCCCCCCTGGAGGGTGATTTCTCACTTTCTGGCAAGCACACGCGCCCTATAGCAAAAACCTCTACCCCCAAAAAAATTGAGATTTGAAAGTCCATAAGTAAATATGCATGTACAAGCAGATACGTGTTTATATGTACTTGTGTTTTTGTATGTATTTTATATATTTGTACATATAAGGTTACTAAGGTTTCATTATAATTAATTTGGTGTAGGGCACATGTAAATAGCATATACTCCTGGGAATGCATTAGGTACCTCA